CCGGCCAACCATGCATGAAGGCAGGGTGGCAAGGCATGCATGAGTAGCACACGCACCTGAACCTGTGTCCATTGGCGCTGCGGGATTGTCTGTAACAGAGGAGAGCGAAGAAGAGGCAGAGAGGGGGAGAGTGTGCGGGGGTGAGGAATGGCAGGAGAGCAGTGGGGAGGACGGGCAGAGGTGCGATCAGCAGAAACGCCAGCAACCTATGCAAAAGCGGGGAAGAACGCCGAGAAGGTAAAGTGACACTGCAATACCATACCTTGCCAGGTTTCACATGAGCCTCGCATGTGCACAGCACCACACACACACACACACCACCTGTGCATGCCATGGGCAGGATGGGCTGATTGGGCGAGTTGACAGTGCTGGCGGTGACGGCAGCAGCGGCGTCAGGAGCGCAGGAGCCGCCGAAGCAGAGGTCGCCCTGGCCGGCGGCGGTGCCGCAGATGGCGCAGGCGCCGGCAGGGCGCTGCACGATGCCGTAGGTGCGGCAGGCGGTGGAGTTGAGGAAGCAGTTGTTGTCGCCCGCACAGAACATGAGTGGCAGCTTCGGGAAGGTGCCCGAGAGGAAGTTAAAGCCCACGTCCAGAGCCAGCAGGGTCTTGGCAGGGATGGGCACGGTGCCCGTAAGGTAGTTGGAGAAAAGGCCGCTGCCGGGGGGGAATGGGGGGGAGCGGAGAAAGTTGGGGGGAAGGTGGTGAGGGGAAGGGGAGGGGGAGTGGATGAGGAAATGGTGGATGAACAGCGGATGGGGCATGAGGAACGGAGATTGTTGTGAGTGGAGGGTAGCTCTGGGCTTTCAGGTACAGGGACCAGGCGGTATGTGAATTTTCGCTGTGAGTGATGCCGCTGGGTTGGCTTACAGTGAGGTGAGTTGAGGAAGTGTGGCGATGGCAGAAGGAATCGAGCCGGCGAAGTAGTTGTAGTGGAAGAAGCTGTGATGGACGAGGGGAGGGGGCATGGGAGCGAAGGGACAGAGGAGAATAAGTGGGATGGGATACGAGAGGAGTGACACAGGACAGACAAATCATGCAGGCTAGCTGCAGTAGCATGTGCAAGGCTGGAGCAGCAGGGGTCTGATTTTGGGGCGCCTCAAACTCCGTAGCATGTGCCAGGCGGGAGCAGCAGGGCACAGCACGCACTGGGCATCCAACAGAATGCATGCAGCGCCATAGGCCGTGAGAGGGGAGTAAAGGAAACACGTGAAGCGAGAGTATTTTGAGACGTCTCAAAATTACTCTCGCTTCACGCGGTCTTAGAGCATCCAGCAGAATGCATGCAGCGCCATAGGCCATGAGAGGGGAGTAAAGGAAGCAGGTGGACATGGTGGAAGGGGCGCCGGGCGGTCTTACAGCGCCTTGAGCGACGTGAGGGGCTTGAGCGGTGCGGCAAAGAAGTCGAGACGGCCCTGGAAGAGGTTGTAGCCCAAGTCACTGCGGCAGGGAGGGGGAGGGGAGGAGAGGAGGGGTGGGATGAGAGGGGGAAGAGGGGAAAGGGAGAGCAGTGTGGATGGGGACCCGCTTTACAAATGGACACAGCCCACCCACTGACAAGGAAAGCTGGCATACTAACAGTGCACCCAGTGACAAGGAAAGCTGGCATGCTATGCACAGTGCACCCACTGACAAGGAAAGCTGGCATGCTATGCACAGTGCACCCACTGACAAGGAAAGCTGGCATGCTATGCACAGTGCACCAACTGACAAGGGAAAGCTGGCATGCTATGCACAGTGCACCCACTGACAAGGAAAGCTGGCATGCTATGCACAGTGCATCCCAACTCCCATTCGCCATGTCAATATCCTCTTCTGACGTGCGCAGATGGGACGTGTTTTGAGCCGACTCAAAACACCTCCCAGTCGCCCTGTCACTATCCTCTTCTGATGTGCGCAGATGGCACGTGAGTGCGGTGGGCTTACAGGTAAGTGAGCGTGGTGAGCTTGGAGATGTCAGGATGAATGACACCCTGCAGCTTCTGCCGTGTGAGCGCACTGCATGGCAACGAGGGGGAGGAGCCAAGGATGAGAGGCAGGGGAGGAATGAGAGAGGCAAAGGAGTGGGAACAAAGGCATCACCACCACACTGCGTGGCAATGAGGGGAAGGGACCAGAGTGAGAGCCGAGGGATGAATGAGAGAGGCAAACAATGGGGGAGTGGCAAGAGCAGCACCAGCACAGCACCCCACATCACACGTGCTCCGTCTCCCTCTTGCATAACGCACCCACCCGCTCTCTTCCGCCCCTTCCCTCCTCCCACTCACATGCTTCTGACTTTACCTGCAGGCGTGCAGCGCATGCCGGCCCACTGTGAGGGCTTTTGAGATGTATCAGCCCCTCACAGCCCCAACTCATCCCCGCACTCGCATGCTCCTGCGCCCCTCACCAGCCATCCCCGCACTCACACGCTCGTGACTTTGCCGGCAGCGGTGCAGCGCACGCCGCCCCACTGCGCGGGCAGGAGCGTCTGCCCCTCCAGCGTGCACAGCGCTGCCGCATTCCAGTTGCTCAGCGTCACGCCCAGCGACGACTTGAGCGCCAGCAGCACCGTAGCTGGTGGGGGAGGGGGGGAGAGAGATACGGAAGGGGGAAGAACTGAGTCTAGGGATTCACATCGTCATGCCCAGCGACGACTTGAGCGCCAGGAGCACCAAAGCTGGTGGGGCAAAAAGGGCTGACAGGTGGGGAAGGGGGAAGGCAGGTTTTAAACGTTGACACAGGCATGGGGTTAAAAATACATGAGAGCGGGTGGTCAGAGGCTAACAGGGCCTAAGTAGAGTGCATGCGAGAGGCAAGGGCCTGTGCATGGTTAGCTGTGGATGCACGGGTGGCTGTAGGTGTGCAGGTGCCTGTGGATGCACGGGTGGCTGTAGGTGTGCAGGTGCCTGTGGATGCATGGGTGGCTGTAGGTGTGCAGGTGCCTGTGGATGCACGGGTGGCTGTAGGTGTGCAGGTGCCTGTGGATGCATGGGTGGCTGTAAGTGTGCAGGTGCCTGTGGATGCACGGGTGGCTGCAGGTGTGCAGGTGCCTGTGGATGCACGGGTGCCTGTGGGCATGTGGACGCCTGCTTTTTGAATGCGCTCACCATCAGCAGCGTCGATGGGGGACACCACCGCACACCAGGGGCAGTGTGGCCGAGCCCATAGCATTAGGCGTGCCCAGCGCGGCCGCAGCCGCAGAGTCAGGCGCGCACGTGCCGGTGCCGCCACAGAAGGGCGGCTGCGCGTTGGTTGAGCCGCAGATGGCACAGTCTGCTGCGGGGCGCTGTGTGGTGCCTCCCATGCCGCAGACAGAGGGAGTGGTGAAGCAGTTGGTGTGGCCGTCGCACCAGCTGAGAGTCATGCTTCCCATGGTGTAGAAGAAGTTTCCGCGCACGTCCAGGGTTTTCAGAGTGGGCGAAGCTGGGAAGCTTCCAGTGAGGTAGTTGTAGCCCACTCCACTGCAGGAGGCGGGATGCGGAGCGGGATTGTGGATCCGAGGAGTTGAGATGGGAAGAGATGAGGCTAGAGTGGGCAGATGTGTGTGCGAATGTGAGGAAATGTGGCAGAGACGGGAGAAGCGAGTTGTGATGCGGCGTGGGTGGGCAGCTGAGTGCGAGAGCGAGTGAGGAATGTGTGTGTGCGGGCTCACAGCACACTGAGCGATTGCATGTTGAGGAGTGCGGCGGGCATGGAGCCATAGAACCAGTTGTACTGCAGGAAGCTGTGCGGAGGAGGGCGGGGGAGGGGGGAGGGAGGGAAGGGCAATGAGGGGTGGGCAAAAGGCAGTAGAACCAGTTGTGCTGCATATAGCTGCAGGGGAGGGAGGGAAAGTGGGAAAACGGCAGTGAAGAGATGACACGAGGCAGTACGGGAGGAGAGGGACGTGTGCGAGGTGGGCTAGACGACAAGGGCAGAATGGACCCAAGGGGACAGCAGAGAGAGAGAGGGCAAGGTGGCAGAACGGAGGATGGGAAGGCGGGAGACCGAGGGAGCAAAGCAACGGAGGCAGAGTGGAGAAGCACACTAAGGCTAAAGAGTTTCACAGGCAGCGACGGAAAGCACAGACCCGTGTCCTTGAGGCTGCTGCGTTTTACAACTCACTAAGGCTGGAGAGTTTTTACAAGTGTCAAACATGACTCACAGCTCCTTGAGGGTAGCGGTGAGTGGAGGGAGGTTGGCGGTGAAACCAGCCAGCGGCGCCTGGAAGAGCTGCTTCGTGAGATGCCTGCAGGGGCGCACACACACAGCCAGGCAGGGGCGCACACAGAAAGATGGGGGGTTGACAGACAGGAGAGGCGGATTGGTTGACAGCAGGTGGTGGTGAGTGGAAGGAGGTTGGCGGGTGAAACCAGCAAGCGGTGCCTGGAATAGCTGCTTCATGAGATGCCTGCAGGGGCGCACAGAGCCAGACGAGGGGGGGCCAGACAGTAAGGCGAGGGTGAGACAGACAGTAAGGCGAGGGTGAGACAGACAGCAAGGCGAGGGTGAGACACAAGGCGACAGGCGCACACAGCAAGGCGAGGGGCGCACACAGCAAGACGAGGGGCGCAAACAGCAAGGCGGGGGGGAACAGACAAGAGAGGCGGATTGGCCAATAACAGGTAAGGAGCAGAGAAAGGGTGGCGATTGGGGTGGAGGCTGTACAATACAGGAGCCTTGGTGCACGGGTGCAGGGAGAGATGACAAACTGCTGAGGGTGCACTCACAGGAAGGTGACGGGTGCGGTGCACTCACAGGAAGGTGACGGATGCGGTGCACTCACAGGAAGGTGAGGCCTGTGAGCTTGGAGATGTCAGCAGGAATGCTTCCTGTGAGCCCATTGTTGGTCATCTCGCTGCCATGACAAAATGGCAGGTGGGTAGAGTGAGAAGCATGTTACACACAGGAAGGAACCCATGACATGTGGTGCACATGAAAGGTCGACCCTGTAACGATTCCCGACATACTCAAAATGCTTCCAGACCTGCTGCCCTGTGTGCCCTCATGGCTCGACAACGCCCCGACGCCCCGCCACTCCCCGGCTGCTCAGCTGACGCTGCTGCCACTCACGCCCCACCACTGAATGCGTCACCACTGCACTGCACTGCACTGCACTGCACACTCACATGCTCACGATTGCCGGCCGTGTCACAGAGCACATCCAGTTGGACCACGTGGGTGTGGACGATGCTAATTTTGAGGCGCCTCAGAACTAAACTATGCACGCTCACATGCTCAAGACGTTGGCCCTTGACCTTGCACGTCACCGACGCTCGTAAGCTGAAGAACTCCATGCCCCCAACACCCCATGCCCCATTACCCCATACTCACATGCTCAAGACGTTGCCGGCGGAGTCACAGAGCACGCTGGTCCACGTGGGGATGGGCGCTGTTTGGCCCTTGACCTTGCACGGCACCGACGCCGCCCACGTGCTGAACGTCACCCCCAGGGACGACTTGAGCGCCAGCATGGCTGGTGGCGACGGTGCATGGGAGGGACGGGCAGATAGGACAGCAGTCGCGCGGGTAAGAGAAGATTAGGCGGTCAGGCATGGCAGCAGGGTAGGTAGGTAGGTAGGTAGGTAGGTAGGTAGGTAGGTAGGTAGGTAGGTAGGTACTGCATGAGGTGGCAGTACACTGCTCACCACCCACCGCACAGCTCCCACCGCCCACATCTCATCAGAAACCGATCACCACCCACCACCCACCTCTCCCTACCCACCACCCACCGCCCACCGCCCACCGCTCACCCTCGTCGGACACCGCTCACCACTCATCAGACACCTCTCCCCACCCACCACCCACCTCTCTCCACCCACCACCCACCTCTCTCCACCCACCGCACACCTCTCTCCACCCACCGCACACCTCTCTCCACCCACCGCACAGCGCTCACCACTCAGTGCTCACCTGTGCTTTCTTTGATGACCACCACCGAGCCGCCCGCACACGCCATCGGCCGCACGGGCTGCGTCGGCGAGTTAACAGTGCCGGCAGCGATGGGTGCAGCCGCGTCCACCGCGCACACTCCCCCTGCCCCCGCCCAGCAGAACGGCCCCACGCCGTTGGTGGTGCCGCAGAAGGCACAATCCGCTGCAGGCCGCTGGGCGGAGCCTCCGCTGGTGCACTTGGAGGGCGTCAGCAGGCAGTTGCCCGCGCCCCCGCACCACGTGTAGCTGGCTGTGGGCACGTCTGTGAGGAAGTTGCCGCGCACGTCCAGAGTGAGCAGCCCAGAGGCGAGCGCTGGCACGGTACCGGTGAAGTAGTTGTAGACCGCACCGCTGGGGAGAAGGAAGGGCATTGGAGGGGCAGATTCATTACGGGAATTCATAAGGAATGGGCAGATGCATAACGGGAATTTATCAGGAATGGGCAGATGCATAACGGGAATTTATCAGAAATGGGCAGACTGGACTGCACCTTCACCAGTAGTGGAACAGCTGCAAATAATGAGTTTCGGAAACAATTAAAGCTATTAAAACATAAATTAAAATATAAACTCCTCAAAAGCGCTCCAATATATATCTCCCTATCAGACTTACAATTGAGTGAGTTTCGGGAGGCCGACAAGGAAGGAGGGGATTTCTCCGTACAAGTAGTTGTAGTGCAAGCGGCTGCAATAGGGGCAGAAGGGAACCGATGAGGGCCCGACGGGATGGCAGCATGTGGAAAAAAGGTTCCATGATTTTTCCAGAAAAGTGAGAGCGTGAAAATATGTCGGCCAGCACTCACATGTCGGCCAGCAGCACTCACATGTCGGCCAGCACTGGCAAGGCTCGGAGGTTGGTGGTGAAGGAGTCGAGGCGGTAGCTGAGGAGATTGCCCTGCAGGTTGCTGTGGGGGAGAGGGGCGAGCAGGGGGTGCAATGTCGTGGAGAATTTGGAACGTGGCTGAGAGAGGATAGATGAAGCAGTGGATACGACAGCAGAAAACAAAGAGGATCAAAACAGCCAGAGGGCAGAGCAGGTAAGACACAAAAGACACAACTCACACGTAAGTGAGTGCTGTGTTTTGAGTCGACTCAAAAGACACAACTCACAGGTAAGTGAGGGCTGTGAGCGTGGAGATGTCCGAAGCAAGTGATCCCTTGAGCTTCGAGTTAGCCACAGCCCTGAGGTGCACAACGGTTGGTGGCAGGACAGAGCAATGGAGGATACGTGCAAGGGCGGGTGAGCAGATGAATATGGTATGCAGGTACGGCAGGCAACGCCTGGAAGCAGCATCACAGTGGCCAAAGGAAGCACCCAGTCATTGGGCACGCTGCCTATTGTTTAGGCGCCTCAAAAAAGGAAGCACCCACTCACCAGGCACACTGTCTCACATGCCCTCACAGCATCGCTCATGCACCGGCTCTTTTCATTCACATGCCACAAGGACATGCACGAACCACTGGCATGTTTGATAAATTGATTATCAATGAAGTCCCGATGGCGATTTACATGCCCAATATGCCGACTCACATGCTCACGACCCTCCCAGTGCTGTCACACAGCACGCCACTCCACACTGCAGCCGTGGTGGTCTGCCCCGCAAGTTGGCACGGCACAGTGGCCGCCCACGTGGTGAGGGTGACACCCAGCGAGGCCTTGAGGGCGAGCATGGCTGGTGCGGGGCACACGGGGGATGGAGGAGGGATGAGGCGCACGCAGGGGATGGGCCAGCAAGGCGGGAAGCAGGCGGTTGGGGGACGCCCCGAGGAGCACGTCAGCAAGTGGACGGGGTTGCATGGGCCCTATGGTGTGGGCACTTTTCCGGGCAGCTTTTATGCGGCAAGGCAACGGCACTCGGCCATCGCATCACACATCCCCAATGAGGCCTGACGCGCAATGCCCATCTGTTGTGCTTGCAGACATCTGGTGCTGACCTGCCCTCCCAGCAACAAAACGTGGCACTCACTGACAGGCATACAATGCGGTCAACAGCCAGCCATGCACAGTGCACAGCCCATGCCACGCCACCTCCTCCCTGTCCCCTGCCCCCTGCCCCCTGCCCGCTCCCCCCTGCCCCCTGCCCCCTGCCCCCTGCCCACCTGTGGTGTCTTTCAAGGCCACAACCGGCCCGCCCACGCACGCCCTGGGGAGCGCGGGCTGCGAATTCGGGTTCATAGTACCGGCAGCCACGGCTGCGGCCGCGTCAGGCGTGCACACCCCTCCCGCTCCCCAGCAGAACGGAGGTGCGCCGTTGGTGGTGCCGCAGAAGGCACAATCTGCCGCAACCCGCTGAACCGTGCCGCCGGTGGTGCACTTGGAGGGCGTGACGAGGCAGTTGAGATTGCCTCCGCACCACGTGTAGGCCGCGGATGGGAGGTCGGAGATAAAGTTGAAGTTGAGGTCCAATACGAGCAGTAGAGGGCCGAGCGGCGGCACGGTTCCTATGAGGTAGTTGCCGGGAGCGCCGCTGGTGAAGGGAGAGAACAGCGCAGTGAGGTGGGAAACAAAGGAGGGGGAACGAGAGGGGGGGGACGAAGGGCAGTACAAGGAGTGAGCAGGCAGAGAATAGGACGAGGCAGGCGATTGTTCGTTTCAACGCAACACGAAGCAACATAGCGCAACACGAAGCAACACAGCAAAACACGAAGCAACATAGCGCAACACGAAGCAACACGTGCATGATATCCTGACCTCCCCGACAGACTAACAAGTGACCTGCATCCCAGCAGCACACTACCATCCCTGCATGTTTTCGCCAACATGTGTACAGCTGACTATTATGCATTTCCAGCAGACTTACAACTGGGTGAGCTTCGGGAGGCCCACTAGATACGCGGGGATTTCACCGTAAAGGTAGTTGTAGTGCAGGCGGCTGCGAGAGAAGCAAAGAGACAACGAGATGAGTGGTGCCGGCACATGCGAGACGATAAGTGGTGGCGGCATGTAAAAAGCATGAGGCGCATGCATGCATGGCGACTGTGGCGCCTCGAAGAGGAAAAAATCGTGTAGGCATGAGCACAATGAGAGCAGAAAGGGGTTGGGAGATTGGGAGTCATGGAAGCAAGGCTGTGGCAAGCCAAGACAAAAAGATCATAGTCCTGCTCTCAGCCAGCCCTCCCCTCTCCAACCGGACACACTCAGGCTCTCACAAGTCAGCCATAAGTGGCAAGTTGCGAAGGTGAGTGGCGAAGGAATCGAGGCGGTAGAAGTGGAGGTTTTGCTTTAGGTTGCTGTGAGGCGGGAGAACAGGGCGAAAGGACACGAAGGTCATCATGGATTTGCACGAGGTAGCTGTGCGGTAGGAGAACAGGGTGGGAAGGGTACAAGGCCATTGTAAGAAGGCAAACTGCACACATCATGGTTCGCCTAGGCACCATGTTGTACGAATCATGGGCATTTATTTACTGCATGATATACGGATGGATCAGCAGCACCTGCAATAGGAAAGAAGCAGGAGCAGCCAGTCCTGCAGATGGAAGCAGAAGCTGTGATAGTAAAACGGATAGAGACTGGTGCAGCATGGCAAAGGCGACTCACATGCAACTTTTGAGGCGCCTCAAAAGTCGCCTCAAAAGCCGCCTCAAAAGCCGCCTCAGAAGCCGCCTCAAAAGTCGCCTCAAAAGCGTTTTTGAGGCGCCTCAAAACTGGCGCAGCATGGAAAAGGCAACTCACATGTTGGTGAGAGCTGTGAGCGAGGCGAGATCGGAAGGAAGCGAGCCCTTGAGGTTTGCGTTGTTCACAACTCTGCAGCACAACAGTTTGTGGCAATGCGTCGGGGGGACACACGCAACGCAATGGCAGATGGGCAGATGAGAAGAAGATGAGCGTGGGGTCCATGCGGCAAGGTTTTTGAGGCGACTCAAAAGGGTACACTGTAATGTTCATTATTATTAAAACAGCTGCAATAAAACAGCTGAAACAGAGCATATACATGCAAGCAGTGTCAAGCTCTACAGATGCCCCACATGCCTTGCCGATGTCCCACGCTCTCACATGCTGCAAGCATGTGCAGCAGCCAGCGGCTTCCAGGGCCATGCAACAATGCTCCACTCACTCACTGGTGAGTAGGATCATTTGTTCCCATACAGACGAAACCAAGGCCCAATCACAACCTCACATGCTAACACCATGACTCACATGCTCACATGCCAACACCATGACTCACATGCTCACATGCTAACACCATGAATCACATGCTCACATGCTAACACCATGACTCATATGCTCACATGCTAACACCATGACTCACATGCTCACATGCTAACACCATGAATCACATGCTCACATGCTAATACCATGACTCACATGCTCACATGCTAACACCATGAATCACATGCTCACATGCTAACACCATGACTCACATGCTCACATGCTAACACCATGACTCACATGCTCACATGCTAACACCATGAATCACATGCTCACATGCTAACACCATGACTCACATGCTCACATGCTAACACCATGACTCACATGCTCACATGCTAACACCATGAATCACATGCTCACATGCTAACACCATGACTCACATGCTCACATGCTAACACCATGACTCACATGCTCACATGCTAACACCATGACTCACATGCTCACATGCTAACACCATGACTCACATGCTCACATGCTAACACCATGACACACATGCTCACATGCTAACACCATGACTCACATGCTCACATGCTAACACTATGACTCACATGCTCACATGCTAACACTATGACTCACATGCTCATGGCACTGCCAGTGCTGTCACAGAGCACGCCAGCCTTGGTTGCCACCATGGTACTCACACACACGTCGGACTTTTGAGGCGCCTCAAAAGAGAGTGGCACTCACATGTCAGACACCTTGCCAGTGTCCGTGCAGCGGACGCCAGTCCACTCATTTGCAAGGGCCACGGTGGATTGATCAAAGCGGCACGGTGTGGTGGCGGCCCAAGTGGTGTACGTCACTCCCAGCGAGGCCTTGACGTTCAGCATGGCAGCAGCTGCAGGGGGTGACAAGTGAGGGTGCACGGCACTGTGGTGAGGCGCATAGGAGCGTGGTGAGGCGCATAGGAGCGTGGTGAGGCGCATAGGAGCGTGGTGAGGCGCATAGGAGCGTGGTGAGGCGCATAGGAGCGTGGTGAGGCGCATAGGAGCGTGGTGAGGCGCATAGGAGCGTGGTGAGGCGCATAGGAGTGTGGTGAGGCGCATAGGAGCGTGGTGAGGCGCATAGGAGTGTGGTGAGGCGCATAGGAGCGTGGTGAGGCGCATAGGAGCGTGGTGAGGCGCATAGGAGCGTGGTGAGGCGTATAGGAGCGTGGTGAGGCGCATAGGAGCGTGGTGAGGCGCATAGGAGTGTGGTGAGGCGCATAGGAGTGTGGTGAGGCGCATAGGAGTGTGGTGAGGCGCATAGGAGTGTGGTGAGGCGCATAGGAGTGTGGTGAGGCGCATTGGAGCGTGACAGGGCACACAGGAGTGTGACGGGGCACAAAGGAGTGTGACGGGGCACACAGGAGTGTGACGGGGCACACAGGAGTGTGACGTGGCACACAGGAGTGTGGAGGGACACAGAAGTGATGCGCGCAGGTAGGACAGACAAGGGGCAGAAAGCGAGCGTGTTCCAAATTGGGAACGAACGAGTAGGAAGGGAGGCAGCACAGACCGTCAGCGGGGTTCATGGTGATGGGCGTGTAAACGCACGACAGAGCCACCTCGCCTCCGTAGTTGTTCTGCTTCGCTGCAATCTTGGCATCAGCGCTCGGCATACAAGATTGCCCCGCTGCGCACAGCGTGCCGGTCCCGGCAGTGCTGCCGCAGATAGCACAGGAGGACCTCTGGAAGGCATTCTGGCAGTTGGCCCCCACGCTGCCCAGGCAGTTGTTTGCGGCGTTGCAGTAGGACCAGGTGCCTGAGGGAATGGAGCCGACGAAGTAGTTCTGATAGAGGTCCAGCGACTTGATCTTTGTGATGCTTGTTGGGAGCAAGCCCGTAAGGTAGTTGAAGCGGAGTGCCCTGTGGGGTGGGGAAGCATGCGTTGTTAGCGCGAGTTGATAGGAGTGTGGTGTGGATGGATTGCTTGCTGTATGCCAATCGCAAATGCAAACAGCTGCGCGGCTTCAAGACACAGAGCTGCTCTCATGCCCAAAAAAAGACGCGCCTTCGTTCTGTACTCACAGACTGGTGAGGAGAGGTAGAGTGGTGAGCACACTGGGGAATGTCCCGGAGAAAAACATGTATTGCATGGCCCTGGCAGATGAGACGAGCGGCACGCACGCACACACGCACGCATGCGCACGCACGCACGCATGCACGCACGCACGCATGCACGCACGCACGCGCACGCACGCACGCACGCACACGCACGCACGCGCACGCACGCACACACGCACGCACGCACGCACACATGCACACACGCACGCATGCACACACACACACGCGCGCGCACGCACGCTCGCACGCACGCACACATGCACACGCACACAGGCACGCACACACGCACATGCACGCACACACGCGCACACAAGCGCACATGCACGCACATACACACACGCACACAGGCACGCACACACGGATATCAGAAAGAGTAAAGGCTTCAGTGGTGAGGCGTTAGCACCACCAAGTGGCCTAAGCTGCTGCCCTCAAACGCAGTAAATACCTACCGCATGAGTTTTCGAGCTGGCAGTATGCATGGGACATCTATGGGATGACATCCATGAGGCATACATGCATGGGAAGACATACATGGGAAGACATGCATGGGACGACATGCATGGGAAGACATGCACGGGAAGACATGCATGAGAAGACATGCATGGGAAGGCATGCATGGGAAGACATGCATGGGACGACATGCATGGGAAGACATGCATGGGACGAGATGCATGGGACGACATGCATGGGACGACATGCATGGGAAGACATGCATGGGAAGACATGCATGGGAAGACATGCATGGGAAGACATGCATGGGAAGACATGCATGGGAAGACATGCATGGGACGACATGCATGGGACGACATACACGGGAAGACCCACACAAACCCGGCGACACTCACAGTTGATTCAGGTTGGTGAGCGTGGAGAAGTATGTGAGGTAGTCTGCGAGGCTGCCATCCAGGAAGTTCCATGGCATCCACCTGCACGCAGCAACATGGCAGCACGGCCACATTTGAGGCGTCCCAAGAGCACGTAGCAAGGGCACACCATCGCGGATGGGGTAAGCATGCATGCATGGCATGGCATGGCATGCAGTGTTGCAAGCAGCAGGGCATGGCATGGCATGCAGTGTTGCAAGCAGCAGGGCATGGCACGGAAGAGGCATGTGCAGAGAGAGGACTTACACTACACCAAGCCCCGTGAGCTTGGAGATGTCTGATGGGAAGCTCTTGCGCACGAGCCCTGCAGAGTCCAGGTTTCTGCACACATGCTCACACACACATGCGTACGTGCGCGCGCGCGCGCTCACACACACACATACACACACACACACACACACACACACACACACACACACACACACACACACACACATACACAAGTGATGGTGAGGGGGTGCATGAGTAAGAGTTCGACGGACAGTCGCAACACTGTGTAGGATGCTGCGCACAGCCACACACACATGCAGGGAGAGAAAGGAACGGTGAGGCAGCGCATATGCGGAAGCTCAATAGTTGAACTGGACCACGTTTTTGCCAGCCAGCCAAGATTGCTGCCAGTAACAATACCCTGTGTGGCCTAGCCCACTGGGTGAACACCAAGTGCCTTGCATTGCACCTACACTCACACCCTCCTTTGCCACTGGCGCTCCCTTGCTGCCAGCACTCACACCCTCCCTTCACTGCCTGCACTCACATGCTTCCTTTGTTAGACCTGCACTCACAGCACGTAAGCGCGGCCGAAAGGGGTGCAGGTTACACGCTCCCACTCGCCCGCTTTGCCAGCGGCGCCTTCAAGCGTGCACGGATTGGTGGCGGCCCACGAGGTGTAGGTGAGTCCCATGGCCGACTTGATGTTCAGCAGGGCCGACGCTGATCATGGTTGGCAGGTGGGAGAGGAGGGGACGAGACGGGGAATAGGAGGGGAGGGGAAGGCACACACATTGGTGGCGGCCCACGTGGAGTATGTGAGGCTCATAGCCCTTGATGAGAAAACGGGAAAGGAAGGGGATGAGAGAGGGAATGGGAGGGGAGGGAGGAGAGGAAAGGGAAGTGAATGGGGAAGGACAAGGGGAGGGCAGTGGAGGAGGGAAGTAGAACTATCAAGAACAGCGGCGGGGATCCATGTCACGAACCAATGAGAACGCAGGCGTGAGCACCCACCAATGGGAACTTAACCAGGTGCGAGCACTCACCAATGGGAACTTAACCAGGTGCGAGAACTCACCAATGGGAACTTAACCAGGTGCGAGCACTCACCAATGGGAACTTAACCTTTTGTGAGCACTCACCAATGGGAACTTAACCAGGTGCGAGCACTCACCAATGGGAACTTAACCAGGTGCGAGCACTCACCGATGGGACCTCTCAAACAGTACTCACCGATGGGACCTCTCAAACAGTACTCACAGATGGGACCTCTCAAACAGTACTCACCGATGGGACCTCTCAAACAGTACTCACCGATGGGACCTCTCAAACAGTACTCACCGATGGGACCTCTCAAACAGTACTCACCGATGGGACCTCTCAAACAGTACTCACCGATGGAACCTCTCAAACAGTACTCACCGATGGGACCTCTCAAACAGTACCCACCGATGGGACCTCTCAAACAGTACTCACCGATGGGACCTCTCAAACAGTACCCACTCACCATCTCCCGCATTCATGTAGAGAGGGCCGCCCACACACGCCATGGGCAGCACGGGCTGCGTCGGCAAGTTCACAGCGCCGGTATTGACGGCTGAACCCGAGTCCACTGTGCACACCCCTCCCGCCGCACAGAAGGGCCTCACGCCGTTGGTGGTGCCGCAGAAGGCACAATCCGCTGCAGGCCTCTGGGCGGAGCCTCCGCTGGTGCACTTGGAGGGCGTCAGCAGGCAGTTGCCCGCGCCCCCGCACCACGTGTAGCTGGCTGTGGGCACGTCTGTGAGGAAGTTGCCGCGCACGTCCAGAGTGAGCAGCCCAGAGGCGAGCGCTGGCACAGTGCCGATGAAGTAGTTGTAGACCGCACCGCTGGGAAGAGGGAAGGGCAGCGGAAGGGAAAATGCATCGCGGGAATTTGTAAGGAGTGGGCAGACGGGGTTGCACCTTCACTCGTAGTGGAACAGCTGCAAATAACAAGTTTCGGAAACGCTTGAAGCTAATAAAACAAAAATTAATTCTATAAACTCCTGGAAAATGTTCCAGTATGTGTCTCAAGATCAGACTTACAACTGAGTGAGTTTCGGGAGGCCCACGAGGAAGGAGGGAATTTCTCCGTATAAGTAGTTGTAATGCAGGCGGCTGCAATAGGGGCGGAAGGGAACTGATGAGGGCCCAACGGGATGGCAGCATGAGGAAAAAAATATTCCATGATTGATCCAGAAAAGGGAGTGCGTGAATATACGAGGCAAGACAGACAACACCGCCCTTCGCCTGCCCTCTTAACTCTCTTCGGTTTCCGTGAGTTGAATTTTGAGGCGCCTAAAAATTTTTGAAGATTTTTGAGGCGTCTCAAAAGTTGAATTCTAAGGCGCCTCAAACTTCAACTCAAGACAGACAACACCGCCCTTTGCCTGCCCTCTCAACCCTCTTCGGTTGCCAACAGCCACACTCTGACTGACTTGGCACTCACATGTCGGCCAGCAGCACTCACATGTCGGCCAGCAGCACTCACATGTCGGCCAGCAGCACTCACATGTCGGCTAGCAGCACTCACATGTCGGCCAGCAGCACTCACATGTCGGCCAGCAGCACTCACATGTCGGCCAGCACTGGCAAGGCTCGGAGGTTGGTGGTGAAGGAGTCGATGCGGTAGCTGAGGAGATTGCCCTGCAGGTTGCTGTGGGGAAGAGGGGCGAGCAGGGGGTGCAAGAGGCATGGTTGTTACGCTTGAATTCTGACTGGACGCATCCTGACTCAACTAGGCAATGTCGTAGAGAATTTGGAGCGTGGCTAAGATAGGATAGATGAAGCAGCGGATAGTGAGTGCTGTGTTTTGAGTCGACTCAAAAGACACAACTCACAGGTAAGTGAGGGCTGTGAGCGTGGAGATGTCCGAAGCAAGTGATCCCTTGAGCTTCGAGTTAGCCACAGCCCTGAGGTGCACAACGGTTGGGGACAGAGCGATGGAGGATACGTGCAAGGGCGGGTGAGCAGATGAATATGGTATGCAGGTACGGCAGGCAACGCCTGGAAGCAGTATCACAGTGGCCAAAGGAAGCACCCAGTCATTGGGCACGCTGCCTATTGTTTAGGCGCCTCAAAAAAGGAAGCACCCACTCACCAGGCACACTGTCTCGCATGCCCTCACAGCATCGCTCATGCACCGGCTCTTTTCATTCACATGCCACAAGGACATGCACGAACCACTGGCATGTTTGATAAATTGATTATCAATGAAGTGCCAATGGCGATTTACATGCCCAATATGCCGACTCACATGCTCACGACCCTCCCAGTGCTGTCACACAGCACGCCACTCCACACTGCAGCCGTGGTGGTCTGCCCCGCAAGTTGGCACGGCACAGTGGCCGCCCACGTGGTGAGGGTGACACCCAGCGAGGCCTTGAGGGCGAGCATGGCTGGTGCGGGGCACGCGGGGGATGGAGGAGGGATGAGGCGCACGCAGGGGATGGGCCAGCAAGGCGGGAAGCAGGCGGTTGGGGGACGCCCTGAGGAGCACGTCAGCAAGTGGACGGGGTTGCATGGGCCCTATGGTGTGGGCACTTTTCCGGGCAGCTTTTATGCGGCAAGGCAACGGCACTCGGCCATCGCATCACACATCCCCAATGAGGCCTGACGCGCAATGCCCATCTGTTGTGCTTGCAGACATCTGGTGCTGACCTGCCCTCCCAGCAACAAAACGTGGCACTCACTGACAGGCATACAATGCGGTCAACAGCCAGCCATGCACAGTGCACAGCCCATGCCACGCCACCTCCTCCCTGTCCCCTGCCCCCTGCCCCCTGCCCGCTCCCCCCTGCCCCCTGCCCCCTGCCCCCTGCCCCCTGCCCCCTGCCCCCTGCCCACCTGTGGTGTCTTTCAAGGCCACAACCGGCCCGCCCACGCACGCCCTGGGGAGCGTGGGCTGCGAATTCGGGTTCGTAGTGCTGGCAGCCACGGCTGCGGCCGCGTCAGGCGTGCACACCCCTCCCGCTCCCCAGCAGAACGGAGGTGCGCCGTTGGTGGTGCCGCAGAAGGCACAATCCGCCGCAACCCGCTGAACCGTGCCGCCGGTGGTGCACTTGGAGGGCGTGACGAGGCAGTTGAGATTGCCTCCGCACCACGTGTAGGCCGCGGATGGGAGGTCGGAGATAAAGTTGAAGTTGAGGTCCAATACGAGCAGCAGAGGGCCGAGCGGCGGCACGGTTCCTATGAGGTAGTTGCCGGGAGCGCCGCTGGTGAAGGGAGAGAACAGCGCAGTGAGGTGGGAAACAAAGGAGGGGGAACGAGAGGGGGGGGACGAAGGGCAGTACAAGGAGTGAGCAGGCAGAGAATAGGACGAGGCAGGCGATTGTTCGTTTCAACGCAACACGAAGCAACATAGCGCAACACGAAGCAACACAGCAAAACACGAAGCAACATAGCGCAACACGAAGCAACACGTGCATGATATCCTGACCTCCCCGACAGACTAACAAGTGACCTGCATCCCAGCAGCACACTACCATCCCTGCATGTTTTCGCCAACATGTGTACAGCTGACTATTATGCATTTCCAGCAGACTTACAACTGGGTGAGCTTCGGGAGGCCCACTAGATACGCGGGGATTTCACCGTAAAGGTAGTTGTAGTGCAGGCGGCTGCGAGAGAAGCAGAGAGACAACGAGATGAGTGGTGGCGGCACATGCGAGACGATAAGTGGTGACGGCATGTAAAAAGTATGAGGCGCATGCATGCATGGCGACTGTGGCGCCTCGAAGAGGAAAAAATCGTGCAGGCATGAGCAGAATGAGAGCAGAAAGGGGTTGGGAGATTGGGAGTCATGGAAGCAAGGCTGTGGCAAGCCAAGACAAAAAGATCATAGTCCTGCTCTCAGCCAGCCCTCCCCTCTCCAACCGGACACACTCAGGCACTCACAAGTCAGCCATAAGTGGCAAGTTGCGAAGGTGAGTGGCGAAGGAATCGAGGCGGTAGAAGTGGAGGTTTTGCTTTAGGTTGCTGTGAGGCGGGAGAACAGGGCGAAAGGACACGAAGGTCATCATGGATTTGCACGAGGTAGCTGTGCGGCAGGAGAACAGGGTGGGAAGGGTACAAGGCCATTGTAAGAAGGCAAACTGCACACATCATGGTTCGCCTAGGCACCATGTTGTACGAATCATGGGCATTTATTTACTGCATGATATACGGATGGATCAGCAGCACCTGCAATAGGAAAGAAGCAGGAGCAGCCAGTCCTGCAGATGGAAGCAGAAGCTGTGATAGTAAAACGGATAGAGACTGGTGCAGCATGGCAAAGGCGACTCACATGCAACTTTTGAGGTGCCTCAAAAGTCGCCTCAAAAGCCGCCTCAAAAGCCGCCTCAGAAGCCGCCTCAAAAGTCGCCTCAAAAGCGTTTTTGAGGCGCCTCAAAACTGGCGCAGCATGGAAAAGGCAACTCACATGTTGGTGAGAGCTGTGAGCGAGGCGAGATCGGAAGGAAGCGAGCCCTTGAGGTTTGCGTTGTTCACAACTCTGCAGCACAACAGTTTGTGGCAATGCGTCGGGGGGACACACGCAACGCAATGGCAGATGGGCAGATGAGAAGAAGATGAGCGTGGGGTCCATGCGGCAAGGTTTTTGAGGCGACTCAAAAGGGTACACTGTAATGTTCATTATTATTAAAACAGCTGCAATAAAACAGCTGAAACAGAGCATATACATGCAAGCAGTGTCAAGCTCTACAGATGCTCCACATGCCTTGCCGATGTCCCACGCTCTCACATGCTGCAAGCATGTGCAGCAGCCAGCGGCTTCCAGGGCCATGCAACAATGCTCCACTCACTCACTGGTGAGTAGGATCATTTGTTCCCATACAGACGAAACCAAGGCCCAATCACATGCTCACATGCTAACACCATGACTCACATGCTCACATGCCAACACCATGACTCACATGCTCACATGCTAACACCATGACTCACATGCTCACATGCTAACACCATGACTCACATGCTCACATGCTAACACCATGACTCACATGCTCACATGCTAACACCATGATTCACATGCTCACATGCCAACACCATGACTCACATGCTCACATGCTAACACCATGAATCACATGCTCACATGCTAACACCATGACTCACATGCTCACATGCTAACACCATGACTCACATGCTCACATGCTAACACCATGACTCACATGCTCACATGCCAACACCATGACTCACATGCTCACATGCTAACACCATGAATCACATGCTCACATGCTAACACCATGACTCACATGCTCACATGCTAACACCACTCACATGCTCACATGCTAACACCATGACTCATATGCTCACATGCTAACACCATGACTCACATGCTCACATGCTAACAACATGACTCACATGCTCACATGCTAACACTATGACTCACATGCTCACATGCTAACACTATGGCTCACATGCTCATGGCACTGCCAGTGCTGTCACAGAGCACGCCAGCCTTGGTTGCCACCATGGTACTCACACACACGTCGGACTTTTGAGGCGCCTCAAAAGAGAGTGGCACTCACATGTCAGACACCTTGCCAGTGTCCGTGCAGCGGACGCCAGTCCACTCATTTGCAAGGGCCACGGTGGATTGATCAAAGCGGCACGGTGTGGTGGCGGCCCAAGTGGTGTACGTCACTCCCAGCGAGGCCTTGACGTTCAGCATGGCAGCAGCTGCAGGGGGTGACAAGTGAGGGTGCATGGCAGTGTGGTGAGGCGCATAGGAGCGTGGTGAGGCGCATAGGAGCGTGGTGAGGCGCATAGGAGTGTGACAGGGCACACAGGAGTGTGACGGGGCACACAGGAGTGTGACGGGGCACACAGGAGTGTGACATGGCACACAGGAGTGTGACAGGGCACACAGGAGTGTGACGTGGCACACAGGAGTGTGAGGTGGCACACAGGAGTGTGACGTGGCACACAGGAGTGTGACGTGGCACACAAGAGTGTGACGTGGGGCACAGGAGTGTGGAGGGACACAGAAGTGATGCGCGCAGGTAGGACAGACAAGGGGCAGAAAGCGAGCGTGTTCCAAATTGGGAACGAACGAGTAGGCAGGGAGGCAGCACAGACCGTCAGCGAGGTTCATGGTGATGGGCGTGTAAACGCACGACAGAGCCACTTCTCCTCCATAATTGTTCTGGCCGGCTGCTATCTTGGCGTCAGCGCTCGGCATACAAGATTGCCCCGCTGCGCACAACGTGCCGGTCCCGGCAGTGCTGCCGCAAATAGCACACGAGGACCTCTGGTAGTAATTCTGGCAGTTTCCAGCACCGGTGAGGCAGTTATTGGTGGCATCGCAGTAGGACCAGGTGCCTGAGGGAATAGAGCCAACAAAGTAGTTCTGATTGATGTCCAGCGACTTGATCTTTGTGATGGTTGATGGGAGCGAGCCCGTGAGGTAGTTGAAGCGCAGCGACCTGTGGGGAGGGGTGGAGTAGCATGCGTTGTTACAGCGAGTTGATTGGAGTGTGGATGGATGGATGGATTGCTTGGTGTATGCCGACAGCAAATGCAAACAGCTGCGCGGCTTCAACATAACACAACGCTGCTCTCATGCCCGAAATCATTACAGACAGAAGACGCGCCTTCTCTCTGTACTCACAGACTGGTGAGGCTGGGCAGAGTGGTGAGCACGCTGGGGAATGACCCCGAGAAGAACATGTACTGCATGGCCCTGGTGGACGAGATGAGGGGCACGCACACACTCACGCACGCACACACACGCGAGCATGCACGCACGCACGCACACATGCACGCATGCGCGCGCACACATGCATGCACACATGCACTCACGCACGCATGCATGCACGCATGCACGCACACACACACACACACACACACACACACACACACACACGCACGCACACATACATACGCACGCACGCACGCACGCACACACGCACGCACACACACACGCACGCACGCACGCACGCACGCACAAATGCACGCATGCGCGCGCACACATGCATGCACACACGCACACATGCACTCACGCACGCACACGCACGCACGCATGCACGCACGCATGCGCACACACGCACGCACGCACACACGCCGCATGCACGCACGCACACACGCAAGCACGCACGCACGCACACACGCACGCACAAACGCACGCATGCACACACGCACGCACGCACACACGCACGCACGCACACACACACGCACGCACGCACGCATGCACGCACACACGCACACATGCACGCACACATGAACACGCACACACGCACATGCACACACACACACACACACACACACACACACACACGCGGGCGCACATGAACGCACACACGCACACGCACGCAGGCACGCACACACGGATATCAGAAACAGTAAAAGGCTTCAGCGATGCAACAGTTATGTCATACCGTATGTGTTATCGAGCTGGCAATATGCATGGGACATCTGTGGGACATCGTTATTATTGGTTCAGAACCACTGCAACTTGCGCGACGTGCTTGTAACGTGGGTGCAACTGGCTGGGGAAAAAACCTCGGGTGCAAGGTTTCCATCCGGTGAAGGGCAAATTCGCGTGCAGGGGTAGGGCATCATGTGTATCAGAAAGAGTAAAGGCTTCAGTGACGCAACAGTTATGTAATACCGTATGTGTTTTCGAGCTGGCAATATGCATGGGACGACATGCATGGGACGACATCCACAAGAAGACCCACACAAACCCGGCGACACTCACAGTTGATTCAAGTTGGTGAGCGTGGAGAAGAATTTGAGATAGTCTGAGAGGCTGCCATCCAGGAAGTTCCATGGCATCCACCTGCACGCATGATGCAACGCAGCAACGCAGCAAGGAAACATATGAGGCGTCTCAAAAGAACACAACAAGAAAACAGTTGAGGCACATGCACTGTTGCAAGCTGCAGGCCATGACACAGAAGAGGCACGCGCAGAGAGCACTCACACTACGCCAAGGCCCGTGAGCTTGGAGATGTCTGAAGGGAAGCTCTTGCGCACGAGTTTCGCTGAGTCCAGGTTTCTGCGCGCAGCCGCGCCACACACACAAGAGAAACGGTGAGGGCATGCAGTGCAGTGCATGAGAGGCAGCATGCAGCGACACAAGGGAACGGTGAGGCAGAGCATGAGAGGGAGCTTATATGGGCTGCCGCAACACCGCCTTGCTGTCTGCACTCACACTCACACCTGCTATAACGCCCCGCGCCCTGAACCGCCAGTCTAGAACTGGGGTTATTTAGAGGCGGCAGCGCGGATGATATATTTTAACCCAACCCTTCATGTGAGTCCCGCCGGCGTTGCGCCTGCGTTGCTGCCTGCACTCACATGGAGTAGGCGAGGCCGTCAGCGGAGCACGTCACGCGCTCCCACTCGCCGGCGGCTGCAGTGGCGCCATTAAGAGTGCACGGTTTGGTGGCGACCCACGTGGTGTAGGTGAGTCCCATGGCCGCCTTGATGTTCAGCAGGGCCGTCGCTGATGGGCGGATGGGGAACGGCAGACAAGGGGGAGCGGAGGTGGAAGAGGGGAACAAGGAAGGACACATTTTGTGGCGGTCCACGTGGTGTAGGTGAGTCGCATGGCCGCCTTTATGTTCAGCAGGGCCGCCGCTAAGACCGGGGAGTGAGGAAAAGGAAGGGGGGGGGATACGCGAAAGAATGAGCTTTTTCTCGGCGCCATCTTTTGAAGAAATGCGTCGGCAGGGATTGGTAGTGGCCAACGTGGCGTTGTTGAGCCCACGTGGTGTTGTTGGCCCCACGTGGTGCTTTTGGGCCCACGTGGTGTTGGTGAGCCCGCATGGCCGACTTGATGTTCAGCAGGGCCGCAGCTGTTGGGCGCAGAGGGGATGATTTGGAGGCGGGAGTGGGGAAAGGGAACAGGAAGGGGCGAGGGGAGCGGGGAGAGGGGAAAGGGTGAGCTTTCCACGCTTGCTTGAAACGGTAAGTTCGCGCGGCGTGCCTTTAACGGTGGCTTGGACAGGGAGAGTACTTCTAATATAGGTGAACGGTGGAGGGAACTTGAGTAGGAAATGCAGCAATTGGCGCCTCTATAAGCACTCGCCAGGGAGGGTCCAGAGCAGTGGAAAAGAGTCTTTTCACCCTCTAAGCAGTGCAGGCTAATTTGCCAAATACTCATACCTTGCAAGCGTGTCTTTCAAAGATCGGTGGGAGGTGTGGTGTTGGAAGGACCAGGTCGAAATGTGGACGACATAGGCGAAAAAATTCTGGATAGCTGGCGGAATTGAACATGATGTTACCCCTCATAATCATGTTGGTAGTACCGTACTGTGGGGCGAGATGGGTCACTGAGATTAAGGTTTTCACCTTGATCGGCCTGCATGACGACGCTAGCGACTCTGTTAAGGTGGCAGGACAGCACTGCCGCGAGAACGACCAACATTGCGACGAGGCACACATGCCGCTTCGGGGTCGCCATGGCGACCATCATGCGCGCCGCTCTTCCCCGGGAAGCCAGTGGACTACTTCTGATGAGTGGACAACTACTGATGAGTCTGGTGAATCCTAGACCGCTGCACTAACCAGGACTTCGGTTCAACGGAAGGAAAAGGTCTCGAGAAGTGCACGTAACCACAAAAATGGGCGAGATATAGTTCCACCAGGTTACAGCACCGCCGCTTTTGCTGCTTGTTCGGTGGTATAGTCGCAGCAATTGACAGAGCCTTCGGGATAACGACGACGTGGTCTCGGAGGACGCCATGGTGGCTGAGGGACTACGCGGCGAATAGGTGATGCCTTCACCGTCCAATGCCTTGACAGGGATTTTTACCTCTTGCTGCCCGGTGACCGTGAGGAACGAAAAATAGGCGATGCCTTCACCGTCCAATTCTAGTCAGAATGTTGACATCTTGACATAGCAGGGGACGTGAGGAACGAAAATTAGTCGTACTGTATAACGTCGGTGACCAACAACGTTCTTCGTACTGTGCAGTCTCCAACATTTCATGCGGTACAGTAACAACCAATTTTTTAGGCTCTGCCGGTTACTGTACCTCCTGGCAAGAGACCAAATGCAAGAACTGAAGACAGGCCACTTGGCAAGCGTGAGGACACTACTGTACACAGTTTCGTCGGAGATGGACATCCTGTGGGATCTGGGTCGATAGAAACAAAGACGTATATCAAGCTGCATCAACAACCAGCAGCTCCGACAGTCCAATCCCGCCCAAGGTTGTTATCACGCTGATTCCAAATTTAATACCAGAGTCACAAGTTTGCGTTCGGGTCTGATCGGCTCCGATCTGATCTGCTCGGAAAGCTTGTGATCACTTTGCTCGAGCCGCCCGATCAGCAAGGTTTTTCGTCGAAGGTTTGAAGCTACTACTCGACAAACGCAGGAACATTATGTAGAAATTCTTATCCAGCTCACGCGAGATTGGCGACAGATTGTCACCTGGCGGACGAATTGTTTCCCTGTAATATTGTCGATCCCTGGAGGGTTCTCGCGATGTACCATGCATAAGCGAGAGGTTCACGAGTTTGCATTCAACAGTGTAACATTTCGCAACCATCGTTATGGCTTCGATCACATGCAATCAACTGATCGAGGGTGATTGAGCAAAATCGAGTGTTTGGGTAAAAAAATCGGGAGTGATTGAGTTGGGGCGATCAGCTAGCTGATCGCAATCAGCTGATTGCCCCCGATTGCCTCCAGGCTTCCTCGAAGTTGTTAGTCGCTTCTGATCGAGGCGATCAAACTTGTTTGGGCCCACGTCCTTATGACGCGTACCGCGTTAATTTTGCGGATCACAAGCTGGTTCAACATTGTCTGGTAATTTGCGACAGATGTTGATGCGGTCCCCACTCACCGCTCCCAGACTGAGCTGTACACACCCTCTTCACGGAGAGCCAATTCGGTTTCTATGGTACGTGTACAGCACATACGGTACAAAACCGTGCACGACATCAGCCCCTGATACACACTCACATCCCTAGTAATCGGAGGATTACTCAGGCTCAAAGCCACACACGCAACCGATTTCCGGGGCGTTTCACCAGCCTACTCTTTGAATAAAGTTTTATTTTCCATCACACCCCGTAAAGAACGAGCGGCAAGATTGTGACTCGGCGCACTTCAGGGATCGATTTAAAAAAAATCCTGCTGCGGCCGGATGCGTGAATCCAGCTTGGCTGTTCAGGAGTTTAATAGCCAAGCGCTCGTCGCATTCTCACATCACAAGTACCAAAAAGGCGACCTTTCTGACTTGAAAATGCTGAAGTCCTTGTGTGCAAATCACGAAGATTGGATTAGTATGAAATTTGGCTAAGTCCTACTGGAAGTCGAAAGTGGATCGGCATTAAATTTGACAGCCTGCACGAGATGCGACTGCACACACAGGTGTCTACAAGAAAATGTATGCCAATCCATGCACTGTCCAAAATTTGAGAACAATCGAATATATCGGGTCTCTCCCAAAAGTTTTAGCGCGCCACTCGGCACAGCCAAGGGGCACGCAGATTTCACTCTTGTTTGGAAAAGTGCCTTGAAAAAAAAAAAAAAAAAAAAAAAAAAAAAGGCCCTCGCCACACAACGCCGTGACTGAAAAGCCATTTCCGTTCTTCATGCATTTTGTTCAAACGGTGTACAGAATCCACCGACGCTGCAACCTTCAGTTCCTACCAATCACATTGGGTTCTCATCTGGACCACGCGGCACACGACACGATGAGAGCTGTACACCCTGTTTCTCGATTTTTGAACAATCGGGAGCCGTGTGCGCACGTGTGCTTGGATTCAGCGGGCTGGTGCTTGCAACCGAAATGCACTTCAGGAGAACGGTAGACAACGGTTTATAAAAACAAAAGTGCTTTTGAGTTCGGTTTTGTGCGGCAAAAGTGCTTATACGGTATGTTCTGGGACCAATTTGGACGCATTGATGTCAGTACAACTGGCTTGTCAATATGGCGATTGTCAGTGTGGCGCGAAACAGGGTGTAATCTGCTGGGCACGAAGCCTGGTTGGCACGAAACCAGTGGTTTGGTACTGTACGGGAATGAAAACAAGGTTTGGTACTGTACCAAACCAGTGGTTTGGTACTGTACTGTAACGCCCAGAAGGTTTGGAACAGAAAGCACTCAGGGCACGCTGCACTTCTATTTATTAATTCGATAATTCTTTGGAGCGGGTTTTGGGCGAACTTGCTTGCGTTTCAGTGTTTTCGAACTTGAACATGCAAAAACACAGAATATCGGCACTCTTTGTCAGGTGCATCAAGACTGGTTTTTTGGGGAACCCGAACTCCTACCAACCGTGCGACCGAAATGAGGTCGCACGTACACTGTAGACGTCGCATAGCCAATCATATCGTTTCGTCTACGCATCGTAACTACCGTCGCTAGTGTTTCGTTTTTTGTTTTTCGCAACTGGAGTTCACCTTTTGGGGTGGTGCACTTCCCTGTCAAGTTCGAGCATTTGACGGGGAATTCCGCAGTATCGTTTGCCCGCGTTTGGGGCGCTATGGCGTTCAAGTTTGCATGCAAAACACGAGCGTGGTGCACTTCTCGAGCAGTAACACTGTTCAGTCAAGACAAAATTCAGTTGAGTAAACGCCAAACGCACAGTAACCCGAACTTCGCCAAAATTTCGGATTTTGATCGATCTTCTTCAGCATTTTCGAATTAAAAAATAGAAGTGCAGCGCGCCCTCGGGTGAGTGGTTTCGTTTGGCATGCCATTGGCTCGACCTGGGTCGGTGGACTCAGGCTCTGGTGGAGAGGAGATTCGAGATCCACCCATCCCAGCATGCGATACGCTTGGAGTCATCTGCAAAATGTCAACACAGCAAACAAAAAGAACATACACCTAACCACCGCTATTTTCAACTCCGAACCCTTGCATTGTTCCCGCGTTTCGAAGTTACCCTGCACGCATTCGACTATTTCAGTTGGGGGCACTTTTGCTGTTGCGAATTCCCTTGTGCCACTTATACTCTTTTCGGGGGTCTGGAACCAACTCGCTGTGAAATCAGTATGAAATTTATGACGCTCACACAACCGTCGGTCAAAGATTCTAGAAAGGGTGCATACCTACTTGCGCAAGTGGGGTTGAAAATAGACGGAAAGAAAATAACGGTGGTTAGGTGTATAACGTTTCAATATGGCATACCCAAAAACTAAACCCTAAACAAACAGAGCAAAAGCAGGTTGTTTCTCCAGAAAGTTTGGCCTAGAGAAGCAGACAGGCAAAGGGTAGGCATCTCTCCTGCCCCTCCGGTACAACACCCCCCCCCCCCCCCCCTGGTCCAGCCCCGTCAGGTGTGTCACACGCCACCCCTCCCCCCTCGGTAGCCCCTCAAATGCCGTCCCCTTCCCCACAGTCCTCCTCATAGCCTACTGCAGACCTTGCGGGAGCAGGTGCTCGTGTTGAGGACCCTGGGGGTGCTACATCTGGAGGGGTTGGAGGTGGAGCTGACAGTGTGCCTCCACAAGGTTCTGGTGCCGGAGGAGCTGGTGTTTGTCGCGCTGTCCCTGAGGGGTGCTACGACTGGGGGTGCGGGTGCGCCCCCTACGGGACTTGGAGAGTCTGGGACTGGCCGTGTTGTTGCAGGTGGTGCTGGCTCTGGGGGTGGTGCGACTGGTTCATTGGAGAGCGGTCCTGGGGCTACCACTGCTCCGGACACTACTCCTCCCCCCCACCCCTACCCGACCCGGCACCAGGCCCGTCTTCACCGTGCCCGTGAGGAGCAGCTCGAGTTGGAGCGAGAGGAGAGAGATTTGGAGCGGCAGCAGCTGGAGCTATAGCGGCTGGAGGAGCACTAGCAGCAGTAGCCAAAGCAAGAGCAGCAGCAGCAGCAGCCGGAGCAGGAGCAGCCGCAGCAGCAGGAGCAACAGCAGCCGCCACAGCTAGAGGAGCAGCGGTCGCAGCCGCAGCAGCAGCAGCCGCCGCCACCTCCTCCTCCCGTCTCTGATCTTCGGACCCTTGCTCTCCCCTCTCCTTCTCCTCCCTCATTCTCCTCTCCTCCTGTCTCTGGTCCTCCGCTTCCTCCTCCTGACCCCTCCCCAGCTGTTTTCTCTCCTTCTCTGCCTCCGTTGTCCCCTCCTCTTCCTCACACTTGGTCCTCGCGTTGCTTTTCTCGTGCTCATCCCTCGTCCCCTGTTCCCTTCTCTGACCTTCGTACAACCCTATTTTGTTCTAGTCGACTTGTTCGTCTCCTTCTGTACTTCCTTCTCCTCCTGAGTCGGCTCTCACTGCTTCCCTCTCTATGAGTGACTCTTCTTCTTCAGCTCAGTGACTTCTGGTTCTTCTGCTGCTTCTGCTTCCTCTGTTGCAGGTCCTTCGGCGACGTTTCCACATCCAATTTCAGTTGCGGCAGCGTCTCCCAGCGCGGTGTTTTCTATAATCCAACGCATGTCCACTGCGTCCCATCCCTTGGTGGTGTTCCAACCGGTAGGTTGTTGAACGGGGGGCCAGAATGCCCGTGTAGCCTCCATGT